CGTTTTGTGTGTGTGTGTGTGTGTGTGTGTGTGTGTGTGTGTGTGTGTGTGTGTGTGTGTGTGTAACTGCATTTATTATTGTCCTGCTGAAATAAGGGATAAACTGAGTTCAAGGCACATGAGGGTGTCAGCCTGTCAATGCTGAATAACCCAGCCTGACTCAGCTGGGCTCTGTTAACCCATATGCCTGTGTCTGACTGCATTTTATTGTTGCCCTGATGAACTGAGTTCAAGGCATATAAGGGTGTTAGCCTGACAATGTTGAATAACCTGGCTTGGCTCAGGCATGCCCTGTTAATCTGTGTGTGTATGTGCATATGTTTGACTGATACGGTGGTTGGAGGAACCCAGCCCCACTGAAACTGAGTCCTGAAAGATAGCTCCACTGCGGGTGAGGACTCGCAGAAGGGAGAGAGACAGCTCCATATAGAAACACAAGTAACACAAGCAGCACACTGATAGAATTACAGACCCCAGAAATACAGTACCCCTGATAAATGACCACACCCCAAAGTGATGGGCAAATCTGGTAACACTGTAGTTTTTGACACTTGCACATAGCCTGAGATTCAGCAGAGCACATGCGTGTCTATTGGGCATGCTCAGTAGGTTGTGCTCTGACCAAGTAGTTACCTGTGGTAGAACAGAACTGCCTAGGCAACGTGTACAATGCAGGGCAAGTCCCAGAAGTCAAAACACAACTCACACGGGTTAGACCGAGAAGGTGGGTTTGTCCACCTTTCAGCTCAACAACCTAGTACTTTGGAACTTCCTCATTTATATCTTCTACTTCTCAGTACACTGCTCTGACCCCTAGACCATGCCCTAGGCATTATGCTCTCTAGCCCTTCTCTCAGAAGCTGGCCCACTGGAAAGTTGAGAGGGAGGTATGTGAACCCAGGAGGAAGGGCTGAAAGCTGGGTGTGTGGCTCAGTGAGACAGCTGCTACCCTAGGAGGGAGGGAGCTCTGGGTTTTCAGCTGGCGTCCCACTTGCATTAACCCAGAAATTTTTCCCAGTGCTGCTTATCCAATGAATATGAAATGCAAGGGCAGGGCTGGAGAATGTGTACTTGGAACATTTCAGGGGGAAGTAAGAGATGTTTTTCAAACTGCATCTGGGTGATTTGACATAGAGAGGCTGGACCTCCTGCTTTCTGGGCAAGTGTATTAGCTATTGAACTAAATCAGAGGTGGGCAAAATATGGCCCACAGGCCATATCCAGCCTGCCAACTGAACCTGTCTGGCCTACTGACTGCCGCCAGGAGCCTGAGAAGGGAGAGCTGTGCCCTGTGCTGCTCTGCTCTGCCACAGCCAGGACCTGGACAGGCCACACAGTACACAGACTCTCATTGCAGCAGGTGGGCGGGATGGCTACTTGACACACTGTCTCATGCGGGCCTAGCTGCTGGCAGCTGCAGTACCAGGACCACGCAGCACCAACAGGAAGTTGTGGGGAGGATGGGGAGGCAGAGGAGTCTGCACACTGTGTAGCCTGGTCTGGCCCTGGCTGTGGCAGAGTGGAGTGGTGCAGGACACAGATGTCCCTCCTTGGCTCCCAGCAGTGGCCAGTGGGCTGGATAGGGGCAAATGGCATCTCCCTGGCCCCCCGCCCTCCCCCATTGCTCAACAGCTCACCAAAACTAAATAAATGGCCCTCCAGCTCAAATAATTGCCCACCCCTGGACTAAATGGTGGGAGGACACTTGAGCACAGACTCCCAAAATGTGCTCAAGTGCCAAAAACTGCAGTTATACAGCTACACATTTGCCACTAAGACATACAAAGAGTAAACAGGATCTGATCCCAACTGTTGTAATGGTATCTGCTAAACTCAATTGTGTTGGATATTTAGAAGTGGCCAAAGTCATCAAGGACTCTAGCCTCTTTTGTGCCGCAAACCATCTCTTAGGTTACTCCTTCTCTCAGAGATATCAGCTGACTTGCAAGTTAATTGTTAATATTTTATTTTGGTTTAGCATTTCTATTCCCCCACAGTAAATTTATATAAAGTTGTATAAAGGCAATGTATCATTTTGCAAGTGATTTCTTCGGTACAAAAGAATTCATTTAGCATCAGTGAGGAAAATCCAACCATTATTTTGTTTGCATGACAAGGAAAAATATGTTTTCTAAATAATGTAGTTTTATTCATCTTCATGCAGACCCTCAAACTGGCATCTACTAAGTATTGACCACTAAATAATCTAAAGAAGCCCGAAGTCTGCTGAAGTTAATGAAATGACCTTTATTTGCTTTAATGGACTATGATCAAGACCACTGTCTGCTACAGGTTGTCTAAAGTGTGTAGAAAATACCAGTTTTTCTTGCATTGTTCATTTTTTGTAGGACTGGAAACAAAATAAACTTTTTGGCTCTTGAAAGGCAAAAACATTTTAAATGTCTGGCCTTTATTACAAAGCATTTATATATACATGAGCAAAGAAAGAGGGGAAAAAAGTTAGTATTTTAAAAATTATTTCCTCTCCCACTGTGAATTTTTTACATTGAAAAGAGAGAAAACAGAGGCCAACCTATTACCACTGTTACTTGTTTGTAGCATAGCTGTACTCAAGGCTACAATCTGTTTCACTGCATTAGGCATTGTAAAAATACATGCTAAGGAAGTCTCGCCTCAAGAGCTTTGGAAAAAATTACTAGCAAGTTTTGTCATGACCTCTTTTAGAGATTTACAACAGAAATGGGTTAGTTTGGACTGTTAAAATGTTCATGGATAATACGAATACAAAGCAGAACATATGAAAGTCACCACTGATGCACAGAAGTTGTTCATACCGTAACAAAAACGTCCATCTCCCTGGAAGCCTACAGAACATTCACAGGAGAACTGGTTTCCTGTTCCTGGGCGACATACTGCGTTGCTATCACAATCATGGGTATTGGTATAGCAAGGATTCCGGTTAATATCAGCAGAACCATCTGTCAAGAGAAACATTATTAAACCACAGAAGCAGCTAACATGAGCTCACATTAAATGTAAAACTCTCTCAGATTTCCAACGCTGATATAGTGCCTTTTAAAGACTATCAAAAAATAGTCTTTAAAGGGCTGTCCCTGTCACAACACTTAACATTAGGGCTAGAAGAAGGTTGTTTGTACTGGGAAAGTACACAGAAAGGCAAGGCAGTCTGCACCCATTGTGCAGTTTGTGGTGCTGTAAACCTCTTTGTGGCACTGCAAACTGCGCACAGCAAACATTAAAATGTGCCCTGTGCTGCAAATTTGTATGTTAGGGCCAAAATTTGCTATTGAGATTATCTGGTAGCAAAAAAGAAACAAAAACCCAAGCACAAAAAGTGGCACAACGCAAGCTCAAAAAGCATGCACAGGCATACAGAGAAGCCAGGCCATGCAGAGCAATGTTCTTGCTGCCAGCCAGACCTCTATGCTGCCTGACTTGTGCCCCTGCTACTCCAGGCCACTAGGCAAGACTGCTGGGGCCAGCACTGGTGCTGGCCCCAGCCTCCAGCTCTGCCTGGCTGAAGAGTTGGGAGGAGCCGGACAAATTGTCCTGCAAAAAAAAGTGCACGTGCAGGGGTATGCGCTGCAGCAATTTGTGCTGCTGCAAATGCATGCCCCTGCATGTGACCATTAGGAAGCAGGGAACGCACAAGTGATATGATATGGCGCTAGTGATATGACAACCACAGATAAAGTCCTCAAACATGACAGCACAGAAACTTCCCTAGAATGTCTACAATAGAAGACAGCTACATTTTAAATGGGACATAGATGACCCTTTTACATGGAAAAGCCCAAAACAAATTATGCACATATTAAAAAAGGTGAAGCCAAATGACTTGCACACTCAACTTCCAGCCCCCTTACTCCCTAAGCAGAGTTGTAAGAGATCATTTATTTTTAAGTAATTGAGGAGGCCTGTTCTACCTTTCTCTTTGTTACCAAAAATAAATAGATGACCTCCTGTACTCACTTAACATCCATTTTTATATTACTCCTTCAAACACACCTAATTTTATTTTATACAGAGAATTCAGCTACCTGATCATCATAGTTGACCAAGCTTATTACGAAACTTTCCAGAAAAAGAAACCATAAAAAGAGCCATAACATCATCTGACATTAATGAAACATTTTGTACGACTGACTGCATCCAAAGATGAAGTCCTGTGACTGGCTGGAAGATGAATCTTAGAAATTAGCCTCATTCTAGTACTTTTATTTCATCTGGATTCAGAATGTAAAGCGACTTATTACTGAAAGAACAAATTTATTTAAAGATAAATGTACAGAAGGTACTGAAATCTGTGGGTGAATTGGTAAGGAAGAAAATTCAAATGGGAGTTTTTAAAGTAACTTAGGCAGCTAAGCACCCAAATCCCACTAAAATTCAGTAAGAGAACAGCATTACAAGAAGTCTCTAGTTGACCCTTAAAAAACAAACAAAACCCCCCAAAAAATGAAAACCTGCACACACATACATTTCTCCCTCTGATGAGCATCTCACATTCTAAGTACATAAATGAAACTATATAATTTACTTAATTACCATTCAAGTAATACAAGTAAAAATCGAATCCTTCTCATACCCAAAAGAGGAAAGAAAGAATTACCACTGTACACATACCACTAACTGGGCCAATGGAGTTGCTCATAGCATAACGTAGAATTTGTTCATCTTTGTTATACAGGACAAAAATGCTGTCCACTGATAGCTGCTGTGTTGCAGAAACAGGATGATGCGAGTCATCATGGATACATTCATCAAACGAGATGGTCTGTCGCCACTGGTAGGCAGCAGTGTAGCTGGAAGAAGAGCCATCTCTTTCTGGTGGTGTCACTGTGTATTCCCTGGTAGATGATGAAGTGATCACTGAAACGCAATGAACATCAGACTGAGAAGAAAGGAAAGGGAAAGAATACCACCCATTTCCTTCTGCAGCCATGAGCCAAATGCAGGACAAGATTTAACAGAATTTGATAGAGCAACAGCTTTCTATTTCTAAGGTATGGAAAAAGTTTCACATGGCTTTGGCTTTTATTTTGTCTTCATGTAGCAAAGTTTTAAGTAATACATTATATATTTATCTGAATACAATTTAGTAAGTTTTACCTTGTACAGTACATATGACATAAAGAAAAGGCAAATTCAGTTTAGGACTCAAAGGTTGCTTGCAGGTGTTAAAAGCAAACAAACAAACAAAAATGCTCTTTACTGAAAGAAGCAACTTGGCTCCGCAGCATCTGTATAGATCGGGTGCTTCAGTGAGGTTTTTTGGCACTTTTATCTAATAACTGATTCAATCAGCTATTAGATAAAAGCATGAAAAAAGCCCCACTAAAGTGTCCAATCTATACAGATGTTGGACAAGATGGGTCCAACTAATGTGATGCCTCTTCTGGGCATGTACTGGGCTCTGCATGGGAGCATGCCAAATTTAAAGTGCTGGGTTTTTTTATTTCCCATATCTGGAAGCAGCCAAAAGGACTGGTATGGGGTAAAGCATGTGGTAAAGTTCGCCTCAAAAGGGCTAGCTGAGACTTCACTGCTATTGTTACCCCTGCTAACTAAATTAAACTACCAGAAGTATGATAGCACGTGCTCCAATCACACTTCTAGCAATCAGTCAGTCATAGAATCTTAGAATCCTAGAAAATTAGGGTTGGAAGGGACTTCAGGTGGTCATCTAGTCCAACTCCCTGCTGGGCCACCCCCAACTATATCATCCCAGACAAGGCTATTATCTAGCTGGGTCTTAAAAACCTCCTAGGATGGAAATTCCACAACCTCTGGGTAACCTGTTTCAGTGCTTTATTAACCTCCTGCAAAGGCAGTTTTTTCTAATATCCAACCAAAATTTCCTTTGCTGCAATTTGAAACTATTGCTCCTTGTTCTGTCATCTGCCACCACTGAGAACAGTCTAGCTCCATCCCCAAGTGGAATCACACTTCAGGTAGTTAAAGGCTGCTATTAAATCTCCCCTCAGTCTTCTGTTCTCCAAACTAAATAAACCCAGTTCCCTCACCATCTCCTCCTATGGCATATGGCCCAGCCCCCTAACTATTTTCACTGCCCTCCACTGGACAGCTTATTGTCCACTGTAACCCCCGGGCCCTTGTCAGCAGAGCTGTTCCTTCTCCAGGCAGTCCCCAGCCTGTATTGGTGCGTAGGATTGTTCTGGCCTAAGTGATGGACTTTATACTTCTCCTTATTGAACCTCATGACATGATTTCTTTTGGTCCAATCCTCCAGTTGTCTAGGTTTCCCTAGCCTTACCCTCCAGCATATCTACTACTCTTCCCAGCTTAGTGTTATCTGCCGGGTCACTGATGAAGTTATTCAACAAAACCAGCCCCAGGACTCAGCCCTGGGGCACTCCACTTGATACCAGCTGCCAACTAGACATTGAGACATTGATTACTACCCTTTGAACCTGATGACCCTGCCAATTTTATATCCACCTACCCATTAGTTGTATTGAAACTTCTGGGAGGGGGTTTTTGTGGTGAATTAAAATTTTGAAAATATAAAGTAATGTATAGGTGAGCACAGGAGTAAGCTATACAGCCTTGTATACAATATTGAGTACCTGGTATTTTGGGGTTCTCTGTGCTAAATTTCTGCATGTTTCAATGCTGTGATCATGAGATTTCTTTTGGTCCAATCCTCCACTTGTCAAGGTCTCTCTGAATCCTAGCCCTACACTCCAGTGTATCTACTAGTCCCTCCGGCTTGGGGTCATCACTTAAGCCAGTGACTAAGAACTGAACTCAGGTCTCCTCTCTCTCCATTATGTCACTACAAATATGGAGGTTTCCATTCTGTGTTTACTGGATAACTGTGCATTTGGTAAAAAGATCCATATTAACTGGCATGGTGGGTGGTACTCACAGAAAAAAGACCAACAAAGGGTGCCTTGTTAGTAATGTAGTTAAGCTAAGTAACCTAGGCAGCCAAGCTAAGGGTGCCTTTAGGGATGCCAAACCAGGGTGTTTTATAACCATGCAATTCATAGAAATATTGACTAACTCAAACAAAAAAAGATTATAAGAATACAATTTCCAGGCAAACGAGTCAGAAGTACTTTAGCAAAAACAAACCAAAACAAACAAACAAACCAAGAAACTCAACAACCAAGTCAATGCAGTCAAAAGTATACCATTTTCATGGTGTTATTTCTAGCAGTCAAAGTATATGATATTAAAGAACAATACTGAAAACAAGAATGGACGATATCTTTCAGACTGTCCTCTATATTGCCTGAGGATCTTGCACTATTTAATCATGTTGCTTCTTACCAGATGTAGAAGAATGATAGAGCTCAGTGTATGGCTCTATATGAACTGATGCACCAAATGAGATCTCAGGAATTCTACCCTCCATTTCTGTGCTGATTGTAAGATGGCCATGCTCATCAACTCCATTGAACTTCTGCTTGATAACCAGCTTCTCATTATTGCCAAGGAAGATAACTTCAGCTTGTCGTGTAAACTCACCACCTAAAAAACAATTTCAGTTACCACGACATAGTCTGAATGCCTCCAATCAAACTGTTGCCCCAACCCCTCATAAAACCAGTGGCAAATGTTTTCTACACAAAATACTGACAAATCTTCTAATAGAAAACAAGAGCTGAACTATTATATAGAAATTATTGCTACAGATATGGTATCTTATTTAATGCACAATAAAAAAAACTGCACTCATCTTTAGTACTACTAGCATGAACTACAATTATACTAAAGGAGAAGACTGAAGATCAAGAAAGGTCTATTTTGCTTCTGCAAAAACCTAGCAGTAGACCTTATCATATCTGGTACAACTGCAAAGGGATTGTATTCTTTAGAACAAATCTCTCTGTTAGGAATACATTCCAAGTGGAAACAAACCCACCACATCTTTGCTCCCAAATCAAAGCCAAATGAAATGTAGTGCATAAATTCCAGAACTGCAAGGAAGCCAAACACCCAAAACTAACCCATCAAAGCCAGAACAATAAAACTGTATATTCAATTGCCATGTAATGGACATTGATAAAATTTATACCATAGTAATATCAAATAAAACAATTCATAAACTCCTGAATCAGATGGTAGGTACACATGATTCTGAACTGTGCAATATGAATCAATATAGAAATTCAGGAACACCTCTAGTTATCCAGTGTTTTTACTTGCAAAGTTCTCCACACATTTCAAAACTAATAAAATGTCACTTGTTTCCCAAAACTATTATTCAATATTTTGCATTTCCTTAGTGGTAGCTCATGGTCAATTTAGTACCTAAATTGAATATGCTTTTCTTTGCAGTTTTAGGCCTTGATGGGGCCTGATTTTAATTTATTTTCATGGATTTGGCAGTCAGATCCAATTAGATGGGACACTCCATATTAAAGAAATCACCAGCTGACCATGTCTGAGTAGCAACACAGGAATATGTTGAGGCATGGTAGGGACAGCCCACAACACAGATGGTAATGGTTCTCTGGGCAACTGAAATATATTAGGATGCTCTTCTAGTCTATACAAGGGCTCAGTGCATCCTAGACTTACTTTGATAATCAGGGACCCCTTACCGGCTCCTTAAGAGCCCTGCATTCCTTCTATAGGAAACAAGAATACTGCAGAGCAGAAAATGCAGGTCTAAGTCTTTCAATGACACAGGAGAAATCAGATCCTTGCACTCCATTCTTGGCAAGTAACATTTTCATCTTTAAGGGTCAATATTTGTTTTTGCCTTGTTTTCTCATTTTTATTGTGGAATTTTTAAAAACCTATAGTCATTTAAGAGCACAAATCCCACTTAAACTGAATGGCACTCATGCTGCTAAATATTTCTGAAAGCCCTGTTCTCTTTGATGCTATACACCAACAGCACCAAAATCAGTCATCTGCTTACTAACAACATTAGTCCACTGAACAGAAACTGGCTAATCTATTTTGCCTCAGTGCACAGGGGTACAAGGTAATTTGTATATGCATTTATGGTGACTCTAAAATAAAATCCCAGATATTCATATTAGACTAGAAGAATATGCTGAGGTGCACTGGTCACCTAACAACCACTTCTGGTCTGGAAACAATCAGCTTCTGCATTATTGTCTACGTCAACAGTATTTCTTTTACCGAGCTACAAGAAAAGGTATAAACAAGTCTTTTCAATATGTTTTAACTGAGAAGTTACCAGTAAGACTGAATCCGTTTTTATATCCTTGCTGTTCCACAGCAAACATCCATCCTATGATACCTCCAACAGAGGCAAGGGGAAGCAAAGAATAACCCAGTGTTTCTGGGATTGTGCTGATAGCAGTGTAGGCCCGCCCCTGATTCATCACAACATAGGAATGGAGGTCAGTGTTCTCGAACACAACTGGCACTGGGTTACTCCCAACAAAGATTCTTCCTTTGACTTTCCCATTGACTCGCTGAGGAGAACCTGGTAAATCAGAACAGTAAAGTGTTAGCAAGGGTAATCTCACAGAATATATTTCCACAGTTCTGTATCAACTATGTACAAATAAATATTGAGGCACTAAGGCAGGAGTGAGCAATTATTTGGGCTGGAAGGCCACTTAGGGAGCTTTGGTGAGCTGTCACAGGCCAGGTCAGCACCTTTTGTACCCACCTATCCATAACGGCTCACCAAAATGCCCTAAGTGGCTTTGCCCCAGGGTCTGGCCCAGCACTATCACCACTTGGCAATTCCAGGGTCTTAATAAAGACCAGCCCACATGAGCAGGGTGGCTAGGCAGATGGGATAGGGTTGTGAGCAGGTGGGGAGCAGCATCTAGGAGCAGGCAGGGAGCAGGGCTGGAGCTAGGATCACAGGGCAGTGGCCAGGTGAAGCCAGGAACTGACTGCAATCCACTCCCACCACACCCCTGCCCTTGGAACTGGCTGTTCATAGCTCCAGGTGGGTGGAAGGCAGCTGGGAGCTGATGCTGAAGCCCTGCGCATTGGGGCAGCAGCTGCCCAGCTACAGCTTCCTCCCCCACTGCCTGGCTGGGCATGTGATACCCGGCACGCATCTCCATGGCTTCCCCACGGAGCAGTGCAACAAGAGGAGAAGGAGGAGGAGCTGCTGGAGGCTGGGGGAGCTGAGCAGTACCTGGGCAACTGCAGCTGCACTGGGAGCAGCCCCACTGGGAAGCTGTGCACATTGGCTGGGGCATCGGTGGGCATGGGGCAGAAGTGTGGAGTGGGCTGCCCCAGGTGGGAGTATGCGGCACTCAGCACTATGCGGATCATGGACAGGCAGCCATGGACCACATATAAATGAACTGGTGGGCGCCTGCCTGAGGGCCGTATGCAATCAGTTGATGGGCTGGATCCAGCTTGCAGGCTGTATTTTGCCCACCCCTGAGTCAGAGTCAGAGACAAAAAAGGACTCAGATGCCTAAACTGCACCTTAGGTGGAACTTATGCATTTAAAACCGGAAGTGCTATCCACAGAGTACCGACACAATCACTTACTCACTTCAGTCAAAACATCACTACAGAGCCAGCTATCCATATCTAAAGTGGTGATTTTTCATTAGTAAAGATACTTGCATCCTGAGGCTCTGCTACAGTGCATGACCAGAGCTACTGCAATATTGGCCGAGGTGAGCATCTCTGAACCCGTCTCATGCCTAAGGCCTTTCGGGATTCTAATATTAGGTGTCCCTGAGCCTAAATCCCCTGGAGAAGCCTCATCTGGTTGCCATGCTCCAAACAGGCACTGACAGCCTGGGGTTCAGCACAAAGCACAGCTTTCATTCAAAAGCACAGCAAAAGGAAAAAGGTGGTGTTGCCTATATCAAATAATAGACCAGCAGTTACAATACTCATACAGGATTTAATGTTTTCTGCAGCTTGAAGTGGTCCAAAACCACATCTCATCTCATAAAAGAATGTTCTAGCCTGCAGCATAAATTATGATGTGGGGCACCTACCAGCTATCTTCTTGAAGCTAGGTCATTGGTCAGAAACGAATACAAGATGTGTTGGATTAGAAAGAAAATAAGCAACAGGGAATATGATGATGGTGGTCTGGGGAGTCCTGAGTTCTGCTCCCTCATCCCAACATTGCTTGTATATTTTATTCAGTAATGGTTTAATATAACATGCATGAATAATCCTGAGACAAAGACTAAAATCCAAGACTTTTCCCTCTAGGTCAAGGTCAATGAACTCAACACTGAGCTATGCAGCCATGCATGCTCTTACTTGCATTCTCATTGGCCCTAGGAACTTTAATTTTTTATTGCACCAAGAGACAACTTGATGAGATGTGAAGGGTATCCCTACCCCAGTCTTGCCTCTTGCCTGGTGGTTAGGGCAATCTTTTGGGAGGTGAGAAATACTGTACTGGTTTGAACCCCCTCAAGCTGAAAAGGGACTTTTCCACTTCCTAGACAAGTCCTCTAACCGCTAGTTTATTATTTAAAAGGTGGGAGCAGTACTAAGAGCCAGCCATCTGTACCTAAAATAGTGATTTAAGCCATGAATCCCAGATTCACAAAAGATGTCTCATAAGGGGTTGCAGGTAGACAACCTAAGTCCAAGGAAGATGGAATTGCAGATACACCCCTGTCTTCACGATTTCATATTGTCCACTTAGGTACCCACCTTTCCTCCCCTTGTTTAGTGTGCTAGCTGTTATGAATCTCATTTTAGGTGATTAACTCTGCCTATCTAGTACATAAGGAAGTCAGGCACTCAGGTCATGAATTCCAGTCCCAGAGATGGATGCATAAAAGTTAAGCATGTGGGTCACTTTGTGCATCTGAGACAATGTAAGTACCAAAATATATATACTCACAAACCGATATAAAAGGTACCTATGAACAGGGTATACATTTGCAGAAGAATTTATGGTTCTATTTTTATGCAAAAGAGTAAAGGGATTGAATTACAATAGTTAGATGCTTGCTGTTATCAGTCTTTATTTTCCCTGGGGATACATGTCTGAGTGAACAGCCTATGCTGTCATAGCACCTGCGACTAATGAATGCATGCCATGCAGTAAAAGTTGACAAGAGACCACCCATATTATACACACATTCTTGCCTTTAGAAGCTGCCCTAAATTGTCTTCAGAACTAAAGAGAAAAGGTTTGCTCTTTCTTTATTAGAAGGCTAATGCCATTAAAACAATCAAGCTTTTTCTGTTTTCTTGTTTGGTTACTTTTGGCAGGCTTTACTTTATTGAAGATTACAGGAAGACTCTCATAGCTCCAACTTTTCCATAGGTCTATAACTTCCTCCAAAATTATGCTATATATGATTGCTCACTAATGTTGCAGGGAGGGAATTTTTTTGTAATATTATCCAGAACCCTCTGTGTAATTTTAATGCATGAAATAGCAGCTTCAAAATGTGTAACTGTTGGATCCTATGTCTTCCTTTCCTTGGACACATTTACAATTGAATTAAATGCTAGTTTTTGCATTTTATGGAAACAGCAATACAAGTAAAGCTGTTAGTCATTTACTTTAGCTGCACATATAACTTGAATTGCTAGAAGAATTACAAGTGTATACATAAGAAATTCCTTTTTGGATCTCACATAGGCACAAAGTTTAAATGCAGTTCCAACAAAATCAAGCAGCTTAGGTCTTTGCTAAACAAGCTGAAAAGTCAGACCAAACAGGAGCTACATTTTGGCTCCAATGATAAAAGCTGGATTGTGCATCACTTTAAAGAGGTTTATTTCCAGAGGAACGGGCCTGAATCAGAACCACAGATCCAGACCACCCCGGAGCTTTGCAGCTCTACTCCACCTGAACAGTAAATAATATATACCGTTTCAGGAGCAGGAACACCATGTCTCATTCTACTTTAGATGTTTAGTTGCTCTAGCAAGCCACGTCTGAATAGGTTTAAAAGCTTGTGAAATTTCTAAATTATACACTGAATGTCACCCATTGGACATTCTCAGACTGCAGTTCTCAAACCACAAGGGGCTCTTCAATTTATTATCTATAGCTTTTTCAGGAAGTGTCACTGCAATAAAAATGTGTGAATTCATTTCAAACTGGAATAGTTTTAGAGACTGCATATTCTGCAAAATAGGGTTCAAAGTTTCTCTTTGTAACAATGAAAAGTTACCTGCATGCTGCTTTCTACCTCAGTATTAGTACTAAACCTGACAGGCCTCTGAAGATTTTAACTCTTTTCTCCCCCCAAAGCTCCCTGGGGGAAATTTTTTCAAGGGAGTGCTTACACTAAGAATGTTAATAGTGACTAGAACAGTGATTCCCAAAGGGTGTGCCATGGCAGTGGGCTGTGAGAACAGAAGTGCGCTATGAAAAATTACACTTTATCAGTACCAGATATGGCCTCTGGAGCCACATCATCTGGATCATGGGGTGCTCCATGATACGGAAATTTGGCGGTGGGGGAGAGAGGGCAATTAACACTGCTACTGATCTCTTGCTGCCAAATTCCAAACTCAATGGGGCAGGATCTGGGGCTAGCCAGGCCAGCCCCATGTGTTGGGATCGGGCCCACAGACTGGATCCAGCTCACAAACCAACCCAACACTGCTCATCTGGCCCGCAATAAAAGCTGTAATAACTGTGTTGTTCAGTAGGCATATGTGAGAGTTCTACAAATAAACCGCGGGTCTCCGAAACATACAGAACTTAACATAACCAACTTCGCTAAAAGACAGGCATGCAATTTTAAAGAGTGGGCAGACAAAGCCTGGAATATCCCTGCTAGCTTCTAAGTGAAATGTAAAGGAGACATGCCTACTTCCATGAGGGAAGAGAGGAAGCCAGAGTAAACAATGCCAGCTTGAAGTTGTGAATTGTTTACTCTGGTAAACAAATGTTGCAAACATCCAGATAAAAATGTTCTTGCCTTTGTGACCAGCAAAGGAATTTTCCAGACATGAAATCTAACAAAATTGGTAGTAATGGGGTTCACTTCTGAGAGGTCAGGAATAAAAAAAAAGAAATAGTCAAAAGCAGCACAAGTGCCTCTTCATAGCGGAGAGCCTTCTCCTTATATCCAGTTGGATGAAAAAAGAGAACCCTGCTGCAGTATTGTTAGTCTATGTCAGTTAAATGGAGTCTAAAGGATGCTCCCAAGGAACCCAAAATGATTTCTTGTGGTAACACAAGACACTTGACTGTGGATGAGAGGTCTCAATGTCTCAAACTCCAATTCAGTCTCAGATCCAAGTCATTCTAAAAACCTTAACCTAACATTGAAGACAACATTTGGCAAGAAAACTGACCACTTTGGAGGCCTACTTAGACACAAGACAAGCAGCCCAACAAACAAGGCCAAAAAGAAAAGAACTGTCACATTAAATCAGTGTAAGAACAGAGAAAAACTCAATTAGGATCTGTCCTTGTTGCCTTTCAATTGCTCTGAACAATTCTCTTGCCTACCTCCAACGCCTCTCTGATCTCACAGACCTTACGGGCATACTATAACTGCCTTAACTAAAGCCTACCATCTCTTTATCTCTTACAAAACCTCCTTCTACCTTGTCATATCTTTGCCCACCCCTTCCAGATCAGTTTTTGTGTTGTCTTCCCACCATTGCTTTTGTCTGCCTTGAGGTTTGATACCCTTCACCTCAGCTTCCAAACATCTGCCTCACATGTCTTCTCTCATCATTTCTCATGCTATACCCTGTCCTTTTCATTCTCTGTGCTCTTATTTGTCTCAGGACATCAGGTCTTTTGTAAAGGTCCGCAAGCCCTCGATTACATCTCCTCCATATGCCCATGTTTTCCTTGTACTGTACCAAATGTTTTCCTTAGCACTTTGTTTTCAAACACTTGCAGCCTTTTTCCATTTGCCTTTGCCAGGGTCAGGATTCACATGCATATAAGAAGACAGCTTGAACAAGTGTGCTATAAAGTTGGATTTTAAGGTTTCTTGAGATTTTCCTTGATCATTATTTTATCTGGGCTCATCAGGAATATTTTAGCACTGTAAATCCTTGCTTTGATTGCTTCAGTGATTCTCCACCTTCTCTATCTGCTGATTTACTATTTGAGGGAAGAGAATGAAAATTGTTTCTGATGGGTAATCTCCTCGGAGGAGACTTGAAGCAAAGTTGTCAGACAAGGAAATTCCTTTTCAGATCACTTTCTTTGCTGTCAGTCAAACAGCAAAGGACCACCACTGCCTTTACATGATGCTCAGCATTTTCCCTCACAACCTCCTGATGTCCAGTTGCTACAGAAGACAGCTGAGTGGGATAAATAATCTGAATCAGGAAAGAGGTGCCCATAGAAAAAAAATTGCAAAAAAGTATCTCCTAGAACAGTAACTACAGCAGATCCTGCAATTCAGGGAACAATTTTGGCCGAACAGTGTTTGCTTTAAAAGGGTAGAATATTATGGAAAAATGAACAGCCAGCCAATGCTGATGACAGTGTTTTGGAAATATTCCTGCTGTGACCCTAGGTTTTAAAGAGCAATTAAACAATTAAATTAAAGATTGGAAGAGATTCCAATTACATTTTACTTTCATTGTAAATACCTCATCTTTATTACCCATCCAGGTTCACATTTTGGCTTCTTTAATATTTCTTTCATATAGATATTTCTTTAATGTAAAAACACATAATTAATATTTTTCAAGATAATTTAGAACTTTTACTTCAATGTGTGGCTTTCACCTACAACTTATAAAACATTTAAAAGCCATGTCCTTATCTATTGCTACACTAATAACGCACAAAAAAGTATTGCCTACTTATCCATACAACTCACTTTCAACAGTAGAAGAAAGCCCAGTCTCATAAAAACCACCATGTACATGTAACGTGTAAGAATTTAGTCTTGAAAAATTAAGTTACCTTCTGCTACACATTGCCTGCCATTCCCTTTGTAACCAGCAATGCAACTGCAACAAAACCCATTTGAATAGTCTTTGCAAACGGCATGAATGGAGCACTGATGGCGGTTGTTAGCACAGGTCTGTTGGACATCTGTATTGTAGCGGAATACTGTAAAAAGAAAAAAAAACAACCATTCACTCTTCCCATAATATATTAAAATGTAGGAGAGAAAAATTCAAAATAAAGGCAGCTAGACCGTGCTACTGTTATAAGGGTGTAGGCTGTAGCTGTATTGGTCTAAGGACATGGGCAGAGAAGGTTCTTTGGGACCAAATTAAATAGTTGGAAAAACTAAAAAGTTGGAAAAATAGATATCAGATTCACCCAAAGAACCTTGTCTGCCTATTGTTATAAGAATTTCATTAAGTAAACTTCAGAATTCCATTGCGGCTATTTAATCAGGTCCTGGGAATAGCAAACAATAGCAAAAATATTTTACTTGCCTCGCAGTATGTCAAATATTCCTAACAAAAGAGTCAGAGCCTCAGCAGCTACATGTTAGCATAGTTACTTGAGGGGAGATATAACAATCTACACCAGGGCTCAGCCACCTTTGGCAAACGTAAGCCGCACCACAGGCCACCATTCCCCTCTAGCGACTCCAACAGTGAGCAGAGCCTGCAATGAGGAAAAGCAGACCACCATGTGGGCTAAAACAGCCAGAGGGGATCAGTGCACCATTAGCAAAACATGAACAAGAACTGGCTAGGGAAATGGAGCACCTTTAGTAGAATGCAGACTGGATCAGACCTTCACAGGCTGTATTCAATCCCTTTGCATACCACATCTGGCCTGGGGGCCATAAAATTCTGATCCCTGATTCACACCATCTGACAATTTGACCACCTGAAACTAAACATGAGAAAAACCTCTTATAGGTTCTGTTTTCCAAACAGTACTGAAGTGGCTGTCTATGCACTCATGGCCAAAACCCATCTCTATACTCTTCCAGCTCACAAACGTAACAACTCCTGTGTCTGACTTCAAGGAGCACTCTGAGTCTTGGCAGTCAAATAATTAGTGTCCCACACTGAGTCACTTTTTCTGTTTTCACAGTCTAAAAAAATTAGCATTGCTAATATAGCGCTTTTACCAAAACCTGAATGGGTAGCCTTCTATAGCAGTATCATTCAAACTATTTTCCAACTTTATCAAATCATCTGCGCTCAGCAAAACACACTAAAGACTAAAATACTAGACAGCTAACACAATATTATAACTAATCAGATCCACATGGAATTTCAGAGGATGAGGCCAAAAGTATGAAGCTTTTCTGGGAAGAAAAGAAAGCTTTAATCAATGGTTTAGAAACAAATGCCCTTCACATGCCTCCCCATGGCTCCTTCACTCATATGGTCTCAGGACCACCTCTGATGGGCAAAGTATAGTATTTACCTGAATCCAAGACAACCCTCATGTGTTTTCCATATAAAGAATCTAATTATTGGAGGTTTGTCTTAAATGTGTGCCCCCCTCTCCTCCCTTCCCACAACTGCTACAGTGGGGAAAGCAGTGGCAGGCTGTCAGGCAGTGGGGCCAGCGAAGGGTAAATGGCAGTGGGGGGAGGGAAGCAGACATGGCTGCAAGGGAGGAAAAGAGGCTACAGGGGGTAGGAGAAGTGGAGCAGGTGGTCAGGGACTGAGGTGCCAACTCTGGCCCTGTCAAGGTTGGAGTCAGATCTGCAGCAGCCACCTGCTGCCTTCTTGCCTAGCATTCAAATCCAACATGAGAGGATTTTCCCCCCTATGTTAAGGGGGGGGAAAAAACTCTTCTCTTCTTGGACTTGAGTAAATACAGTATGGATTATATGGAGGGACAACCAGGAGTCAAAGTAGAAGCCACAACAAGGTGTAGAAGACAGGGTGTCTGAGAAAAAGCAGGTGCCAAGCTTCCTCCAACTACAGAAGCCCCCTCAGTACAAAAGGCCTTACCAATCCCTGTTTCATCAAATTCTTCCACATCTATAACTTGGGGTTGCTGTTGGTAGAACCTCTGGACTTGAAACGGGTCAGGTGGTGTTTTCCCAGTGGGGAAATCTGCCTGACGATTGAAAGAGGACTCTATTGGAGGGATCCCAGTTACAACTGAAGACTTCAAGTCTTCTTCTGTAGCTGACTGAGGAACTCCATAGGAAATATGCTGTTGATCGCCGCCTTTTCTGTGAACATCATATGTTACATGTTGTTGGCCTGTTTCAGCTGAGTTATAGTATGATACAGATGGTTCTGAAGTCACCTCTTGATATTCTTCATAGTCATTATACTCCAAACTTTCTGGACTGCTGCTGACCTTGGTAGGCAGGATGATAGATGAGCTACCAATCTCAAACACCCATACTCCTGGCTTTCCAATATTGCTGCTTCTAAAAGAAGACAATTATAAACAATGAGTCAAGTAGATGCTACTAATCATCATCATCATGTTAAGTTCTATGAGAAAAAAAATCTCTATACTTGATTCTATGCTCTGCTGACAGATACCAAGAAAACTGGCTGAATGTACATTTTGTATGTGGCACAAGACAGCTACTACTTATTCAGCTCTAGAAGACAGCTACTACTTATTCAGCTCTAGAAAATACACTTTCGCATAAACTACTGCAATTTTGGCCCATGCTGACAATTTTACTCTGCAGAGACACCTCTCTCCTTGGGCATTTATTTGAAGGCAAGGAGGGATGTGAAGCAGGGTGAAAAAAAACTTGGTGTCAGAGGGACCATATAAACCTTGACAGTGACTGCTTGAACTTTCTTAATTGCTCCTTTCCTACCTGCCTTTTGACATTTATTTCTATATGGAAGATTTTACAGAAGGGAGTGTATAAAGTCAGGCTCCTAACCAAGTGGGACTGAGCATGCAGTGGTTCCCACTAAGGACAATGGTAGCATAGAAGACTGCTAAAAAAGCCAAAATCTTTATAATCTTCAAATGTGCTTTTATGTATGAAAATTCATTAAGTCAAACAATGCAAGTGCGGTGAGACCTTAGTAGCCATGATTTTCAGCTTATAAAAAACTGCTAAAGATCTTAAGTGTGGGTTTTTGGGGGGGGGGGGGGGTTTT